ACCAGAATGTGGGAAAGGCAAGGAAGTGACAGGTGCAAGAGATTTATGAAGGACAAAAATACAACTCGGTGACTGAGGAGACAGGAGGAAGAGAGGAAGAGAAAAAAGAAAAGTGCCCAAGATGACACCCAAGTTTCCAGTTTGAGTGACTGAGAGAATGATCAAATTCCCAGGAGAATGTTTCTTCCTCTTTCTCAACAAGATTTCTCCCTTTCTTTTGTTTCTGGTTGTCCTTTGGAACTAAGGAGAATGGCCTTTGGGATAGCAGTCCTTCTACCGCATCCCAGCTGATCCCAACAGTAAGAACATAGAATTTTGAACCCCTTTTATGTAAAAAGAACCTGAAGCATATGTGATGTGTACAGGATTGTACAATGAGGCAGAAGCTGACTGGTGCTGGAACCTCTGAGAATGTTTTCATTTTATTTTATCTTTAAGTTGGAGTCTCACTCTTTGCCCAGGCTGAAGTGCAGTGGCAACTCACAGCTCACTGCAGCCTTGCGACCTACTGGGCTCAGATGATCCTTCTCTTCAGCCTCCTGAGTAGTTGGGACAATAGGTATGTACCACCACAACCAGCCAATTTTTTTATTTTTTTATTTTTTGTAGAGATGAAGTCTCACTATATTGCCTAGGCTGGTCTCAAACTCTCAGGCCCAAACAGTCTTACTGCCTCAGCCTCCCAAACTGTTGGGATTACAGGCACGAGCCACCATGCTGGGGTTTTTTTGTTTGATTGTTTTTGTTTTCTACCCCTGGCAATCTGTGAGACCTGTGAGATCTGATGATTTATGATAGAATTCTAAACTTCAGAGCCCAAGAGAACCACCACAATTGGTAAGTGGACCCATTTCTCTTTATGGATAAGGAAACTGAGACCACTGAATGAAGAGTGACTTCCTCAGCATCGCATGGCCAGGGAATAGCAAGCCGGGGCTAAAACTTGGCTTTCTGAGTCTTGACAACCCGGTGCTCTCTGCGTTTTCACTAGTTGCTCAGTGTCATCTCAGTTCATGTGCATGTGTGCGCGCACTTGCGCACACACACACACACACACCACTCACACACACAGATACTTGCTTGAGAAATGAGGTATTTTATTGGAATGATATCATCTCTGTGGATTTACCACAAAGCATACCTCATCAGACTCCTCACAGAATAACAATAATAATTCAAGATCTTGCAGTAATGCAGTAGCATGAAAATAAAGTAAAATAATAAAAATTAAAAATTTCAAGATTAGTTTTTGTTTAAAATCCTGTGTTTTTTTGTGGCTTATATGATAGTTGGTTTATCATGTTTATCTCTATCCCAATCATCTCAGCATTTATTTTAGGTCAGATTGTCTTGGGTGAGCTCTGAGATCTGTTCCCTTTCCCAGTCTATCCTTCCTTACCCTGTCAAGGCAGGGAACAGATCTGACACCTTTTTCGTTTGAAGAAAACTTATCAAAATTCATAATTTGTCAGCTAATTAGGAAGAGAGAATTGAGAGTAAGAAAAAAAATAGGAATCATATAATACTAGGTGCCAGTGAATATTTAAGAGGAAGAAGGAAAGACAGAACACTGGGAAATGGTGAATGGCCTTAACTGGAAAAAATTTTTTTCCATTAATGAAGAGAAGGAAGAGAGAGAATTCTTTCCACCCACCAGGCTGGTACTTGGAAATTCCCTCTGCCTGCCCCACCAGGCTGGTTCCCAGGGAGGCCCTTCAGTCCCAGCATGCTGTGGCTAATTGGAAAAATCCGTTGGTACTAGGATTGCCACTCAGAATCTTGATGTTATGCCAATCTCAAGCCCACCAAATATCAGATCAATTATCCCACTAAAAAATAAAATAAAAAGGTAACAGAGCCTCCTTCTGTCTGCTAAGGGACACATACAACCTATCCCAGACATTTAGTTTTCTTGTCCAAAAATCCCTCCTCACTCTGAAGGGGGCTGCCTGGCAATGTCCCCATCTCTCCCAAGGGCCTGTGTTGCCCAAGGATGCCATTCAGAGCAGCTTTGTCATCTTCACATCCCTCCAGAGGCCAAGGAGGGCTTAAGCCAGAGCATTCAGGTTCTTCCTTTCTCTGGGGTATAACTAAGAGTCTCAAAGGGGATAAACATGAGCATGTAGATCCATCTTCAGGACAAGGAGTCTATTTGTTTGGTGTTCTAGGAAACCAACAAGAGGAAATGCATTTCAATCAAGAAAGAAAAAAATAACGTGCCCATCTATGAATGATAGCCAAGCCAGTGGGCAAAGGTGAAAATAGACAGCTAGGGAAGGGACTGGTTGGGCTTCCATGGGAGATGGCTCCTACATGGGTGTATGATTGGAAGGCCAGGTCCCAGTGTGAGAGCTATACAAACAGAATGGTCACTCTGCCATCGACCACAAGTGTCCCTTCAATCAGTCTAAGATTGTGCGTGCAGCACGTCTCATTCTAATTTTGGAAGGCGATAGACGTGAGTCAGCCATGTTGGAGATTAGCCTCATTTACAAACCGTGGATTCCTGGAAAGTGCACATGTGTGCCTGTGCATGTGTGTATATGTACTACCATGTGCCAGTGACAGACCTTATCTTCCTGGGTGCCCCCTGCTACCACACCTATTGCTACAATACCTTGGAATCTGTGCAGTCATATGAGAAACTGTTGGTATTTTTCCCTTTCTCTTGGGCTTTCTGTCTTCCACTCTCTATTTCTCAGGCTGATTTGCCATTCCAGATTTAACTAGACTTGAGATAAGCCCATGAAAATGCATCATCACTTGCCAGAAAAGCTTAAAATACAAATTAGCTATGTAGGATGGTATTAGGACAGTAGTCATGTCACTGTGATTGTCTCTAGGTATGTTTCATGCCAAGATCAAGGTATCTTCCTGGGCTGAGACTGACACTTTCCCATCCCATTTGACCCATTTCAGAAAGATCAAATCTATAACATAGCTTATCATGTCATAACATGATAAAGACCCAGGGATGACCAGACCTGCATTGTGCTGTTACCTTAACTCTGGTTGCTCACTATGTATTGCTCCCATAGGGTCTTCTGGAAAGAAGTTCCATCTTGAAATCATTCAGAACCAACTAGGTAAAGATTCATCTAAAGATGCAGCTTCTTGAACCCATAAAGCATGAAGCCAGAGGTGATATCCTTGAGAAGCATTTTCCAAAGTTCATGGAATGAGCAGACAAAGAAAAACAATGCTTGGCTAAGGAGCTGAAAAGTATTCCAAAGAAAATACGAAGAGTCTGAAGTCTCACTCACCTTTCCTGGACAGCTGCCTTCTTCTGAGATACCCAACTCATTTGCCTGGACTCGTAAGAAAAAGCAGTTTTTAGATACATGCCATTAGCTGGAGAAAGGGAGAAAGGAGATATCACTTTTTAAAAGATAAACCAAGAGATCTGACAGTGCTTTCATAATAATTATTATTAATATTATTTTTTTTTTTTTGAGTTGGAGTCTCACTCTGTCGCCCAGACTGGAGTGCAGTGGCTGCTCCCGGCCACCGCAGCCTCGACCTGCTGGGCTCCGGCGATCCTCCCGCCTCAGCCTTCCAAGTAGCCGGAATTACAGGCATGCGCTACCATGCCCAGCTGATTTTTTGATTTATTGTAGAGATGAGGTCTTGCTGCCCAGGCGGGTCTCGAACCCGCGAGCTCAGGCAATCCACTCACCTCAGCCTCCCAAAGGCGCGGGATTACAGGCTGAGCCACCGAGCCCGGCCATAATTATTTTTTTCTGGGTCAAGGTCTCACTCTGTCACTCAGACTGGAGTGCAGTGGCACAATCACAGCTCACTGCAGTTTTGAACTCCTGGGCTCAAGCAATCCTCCCACCTCAGCCTCCCAAAGTGCTGGGATTACAAGTGTGAGCCATAGCACCTGGCACCCCCAGAGTGTTTTTAACTCAAAATACAATTTCATAAAGAAGTTTATGTTTTAAATTGTCTACCTATAAAATACACTTTTGTGAAATTTTGTTTTCTCTGAATCTTCCTGTTTCCTTCTTGTATAGCCCTAACAAACTTGGATTTTTAAAGTCATTGAAGTAGGAAAGTCATTGAAAAATGTGACAATAACTGGGCTTTGATCAATAATTTATAGGATTCTGGTGTTTTTCAGTAAGTCACCCTATAGAAAGCATGAAGTCATAAAATCAAATAATCATCAAAACCAACCATTGACTTCACTAGTAGAACACTTGAGGCACCAAAAAATAAAGTGATTTGCCTAGAGTTTTAAAGTGACAGAGTCAGGGACTGCGACCCACCATCCTGATGACAAGTTTAAGGCTCTTCTCATCCTCTGGTGACCTAAAAAGGAAGCATTTTGAAATTATGCCCCCCCAAAAGCAATGTTTTTTAATCACTGTAAATCCACAGGTTTTCACAATAAATTGGGTGGAAGGCAAGGGAGGAGCCAAAGGGCAGTGTGACTTAATAGGGGAAGAGAACCACTTAGTTGTTCTTAATATTGAGAGCTATTCTGATGCCATCAGGGGCTTAAGAGGGACAAGTATGCTGGAGTTTGGAGTTTTACTTTCCATGACTAGACAAGGACTGCATATTTCTTTTTCTTTCTTTCTTTGTTTTGCTTTGTTTGAGACAGGGTCTTACTCCGTTGCCCAGGCTGGAGTGCAGTGGCTCGATCCTGGCTCATGGCAGCCTCAACCTCCTGAGCTCAGGTGGCCCCTCTGCCTCAGTCTAACTAGTAGCTGGAACTACACCAGGCCCAGTTAATTTTTTGGTTTTTTGAGAGGAAGTCTCACTATGTTTCCCAAGTTGGTCTCGAACTCCTGGACTCAAGAAATTATCCTGCCTCAGCCTCCCAAAGTGCTGGGATTATAGGCATGAGCCACTGTGCCAGGCTAGGACTGAGTATTTAAGGTGGAAAACGGGAAGAGGAGTTGCTTCACTCAGAGTCAGTGATATTGCATCAACCAATCCCTGCCATTCTGCAGTTTCCTTGTGCATCTGCCTGGACTCACAGGGTGTTTCCTGCTAAACCTGAGTGTCTCCTCCAAGCCACATCAGCCCCTCAAATTATTTCCTTCTGGGCCTCCCCCAGAAATAAATTCTTGCTAGAAATTATAAAAGACCAGCTCCTCCAAACTGAGAAACTCTCTGGCTGCCACAGAAGCCCAAGGCACTTGGCAGGTAAGATCATTCACTTTAATCTTTCCTGGTTTCTGCAAAGTTGATGATGAAATTTCTGAAAGTTTTCAGAAAACTTAGTATCAGATTCGGACTAGTATTTGTCAGGCATTTTCTGGTACCAACTTTGGCTACCATCATGGCAAATCACCCTTATTAGGTGTAAGAGAGAATGTGATAAAATCCACTGTGGAGCAAGAAGACTTTTCTGTGCCTGAAAACTGAGACACAGAATCATAGACTCTTAGTGCTGAAAGGTACCATAGACCCCTCTTATCCAACCTGTTTAAGAACTGAGGCCTAAGAGATACCGTGTGTTCAGGGTCCTACAGGAATTCTGGGAAAAATAGTAACAGAATGGTGCTCTGTGTGCTGTTCTAGAGACTGGTGTGATATAATATGGCTTCTTCACTGTAATAGAGATTGTGCAGTATTTTAAGTGTTTCCTAAACCAGGGTTCTCAGGTCTTCATTTCATTCCAGCATCTCACGCCTGCTATCTGCAGCAGATCTGAACATCTAGTTCACCCTGCATGTCTAGGCCCAGGAGTCTTAAATGCCCTGTGGACACCTGGCTCTTGATCATGTGTATGAACTGCAGCAGTACCAGGTGGGCTTCATTTGGGAAGAATGGAGTGGTCGGATCATAGTTGCCTTTTATGCAAACCCTTTGTCTAAGGAAGAAGATTCCTTGATAAGAGCTTTCTCCTCTTCATTCTCCTGATCCTGGAGCTGCTCAAAAGATCCAACAGGGTACTCTTGTGGGTGATGGGGTATTTGTTGGCTTTCCTGTTGGCTTATCCTGCCATGTTCCACAGAGTACTTGCCAGTCATGGCAAGGAATCCCGTTGATTTCTTACCTTTTTGAGTTTTCCTCCAGTCTCCTTGGGGACTGCTCAGCGAGTTTGAGAGCTAAACTCTGGAAGGCCTTGGTAGTCAGAGTGTGGTCTGCAGATGCATTGGCATCACTCAGAGCTTAGTAAAAGTGCAGACCCTTGGGGCCCTTCCTTGACTTTCTGAGTCAGAATCTTCATTGAGCAAAATCTCTCTGTGATTAGGAGGCATATTGAAATGTGAGAGGCCTGCTAAGAGACCATCCCCACTCTCTCCCTCTGCAACCTCCAGGAGTTTTCATTCACTCAGCATGTACCCAACACCTATTATGTACTAACATTTTGCTTAGGCATTGGAAAAACAAAAAAATAAGACATAGCCCTTGAGGAGTTCATGGTCTGATAGGGGAAATGGACAAGAAAATAGTAATATGAGATATGAGTAAAATACTGTGGGAAGACAGAAAAAGGAATGATCTAATTTTGCCTGGAGAAATCTGATAAACTTCACAGAAGAGGTGGCATTTAGCCTGGTGAAGGATGTATAGAAGTTTATCAGGCAGAGGGAGCTGGTTTTCTATTTTGTAAGATGAAAATGTTCTAGAGACCTGTTGTACAATAACGTGAACAAGTTAACATCACTGTATTGTACAGCTTAAATAGTTAGGATGGTAAGTTTTATGCTATGTGCTTTTTACCACAATTTTTTTTAAGTCAATGATAGCTTTTACTCCAAAGCCATCATATTTGTTTGTCTGAAAGGCAGATTTCTGCTGACTCAATGAACCCTGCAGTGAGTCTCTTGGAGTCACAGAAAAAAGTGGTAGAGGAAGAGGAAGGTCACAGAATAATCTTTTCCTACTTGAGGCCATACAAGTGTATGGACAGGAACCCACTGAGCAGTCGAGTTGTTTGAGCACTCTTGGGGTTGTGGGGGGGAAGTAGAGAGAACTGTGGCCCAAGGGGTACTCATCATATCTTACCTTTTTTCTAGAGTTAGCTTACAAAAGTACATTCAACGAGGTAAAAATTATTGGGGAGAACCACAAAATGATAGAGGGGGAAATTGGGGGATGTGAAAGAGGCTGAAATTACTTGGTCCAGACACACAGTTTTCCTCTTCTGGTTTGGCCTAATCCAAAGGGAGATTATTCGAAAAGGGTCTGCCAGAGCGGCTGGGTGGTCTCTCAGGTAAAGCACTAGAACTACGATTTCTCTCAGGAAACTTTGGGGCAACTTGGAGGGGGCAGCCAATCCGAAGTTGTTCTCCCTGTGTTTCTGGAGTCCAACCAGCAAATACCATGCTGAGGAGAGAACCCATGCCTTCTTGTGAAAGCTGAGAAACCTGTCAAGACCATGGTCTAAATATGCAATCACCCTATCTGCACACTGTGGGCGCCTCCTTGGGATGGAGCCAGAATCTCCCTCAAAAATATTTTGGGTTTACTCCACCAAGCCCAATGAAGCCCCTCATCAGAAAACAAAGCTGCACGAATTTCAGTATGAGATTTAGGTTCAGAGTTAAAGCTCACAATGAAGGGATTATTCTAAGAGTTGGAATCTCTCCAGGCAGCCCGAGACACAGCTGTGGGCTCAGGGGAGCTCTGGGCCCTGTCACAACTTTCCTTCATGCTTTCCAATGAAGCTCCTTGAGGAAGGGTAAACTCCCTGCCAGTTTCTGAAGGGAGGAGCTGAGTGTCTGCCTCTCGGGCACTCTCCCCTGGTGCTGGGCCAGAGGAGACTGGATCCATCCTGGGGGGGAAGGAGGGAGGGAACTTCCACAGCATGTACTAGACTTGGTAACGTATGACGCATGTCTCACAGTAGTGACAAGACAGGTACAGGATCTCAGGCTCACAGGCTGTCGGGGAAGAATCAGACTTCCTGGATCACTTGGTCCCACTCCCTCCCTCAGCAAGCCAAGGACTCAGAGATGTGAAGTTACCTGCCCAAGGTCATAGAGCTAGTAGGAACAAACGCTGAACTACAACTCAGGGCCTCAGACCTTGCAGGCTGAGTTCTTTCTCTTCCACTACTACCTCTTTCCATCTCTCCCAGTACCTAGTATAGGACTGTGTATGTGGTAGATCCTTAATTAGCCAATGTGATTTTCCCTTCCCTGTTCCAATGTTAGGGTGTCTGGTGTTCCTTGGGCTTTCTCTGCTTTCTGTGACTCAGACTTTCCCACTGGGGCTCTAGACAGGCTCACAGCATGATCCCGGGTGTCATTTCAGTGATGAAGGTCCTTCTCCATCTCTCAGCCCTCCTGATTTCCCTGCTCTTGCTCCAGGCTGCAACAGCTGCCATAAGAGGTAAGTGTCTCCTTGCATTGGTTTCCTGGGTCTGCCGAAACAAAGCCCCACAAACTGGGTGACTTAAAGCGACAGAAATTTATTCTCTCTCAGTCCAGAAAACTAGAATTCAAAATCAAGGTGTTGATAGGACCATGCTCCCTCTGAAGGTTCTAGAGTCCTTCCTTGGCTCTTCCAGCGTCTGGTGGTGCCCAGCATCCTTGGTATTCCTTGGAGTGCAGCAACATCTTCCCAATCTCTACCTCCATCTCTGTCCAGTCTTCATATGGACCGCTTCTCTGTGTGTCCTCTTCTCTTCTTATAAAACTCCCAACCGGGTTCGTGACCCGCCTGGGCAACTTGGCGAGACCTCGTCCCTACAATGAATCAAAAAACTTAGCCGGGTGTGGTAGCGCGCACCTGTAGTTCCAGCTCCTCGGAAGGCTGAGGTGGAAGGATCGCCGGAGCCCAGCGGGTCGAGGCTGCGGTGGCCGGGAGTGGCCACTGCACTCCTATCTGGGTGACGGAGTGAGACTCCAACTCAAAAAAAGCCAAATAACTCCCAACCATTGGATTTAAGATCCACCCTAATCCAGTATGACCTCAATTTAATTTATTACATCTACAAAGACCCTATTTCCAAATAAGATCACATTCTGAGGTTGTATGTGGATGTGAATTTTGGTGGGGGACACTATTTAACCCACTACAGTTTCCTTGTTCAAAGAATGTGCCTGCCCCCCTCACCATACTCCAGATCCCAACACAAGTGAAAACAAGGAATCCCACCTGTACTCTTATGCCATCCCCTCCCCTACTTCAGGGTCCTGATGATCAGGGAGCTCTTTGGTGGACTTGCTTAAAGGCTTCTGGGACCATCTCACCAGGAGCCAGAAAAGTCCCCACAACCCAGTAGCCCAAGCTAACCTGAGTGGTCACATTCCTTCTTACTCCCTTCCCTGGGTATTCTAGTGGGACCCCGAAGAGCAATTTTGACATCTTATTGAAGATCCAAGACTACTCTCCCACTCTGTGCTTCTGTCCCTTAAAGAATTTGTGAAAGTTTCCTAGTTCTGATTTCCTGCCTGCTCAGATTTGAGGGATGGGAGTAATGGCTGAGAAAGAGAGAAAAAGACTCAGAGGACGTCCCAAAGGTATAGTGTCTGATACCCTGCTTCTTGCTCTTCTACCCCACCCCAAGCATCATGTACCACTAGGACTGCTGCCATCACTGATGCTGTGAGTCAGGTCAAGGTCCAGGTCGACAAGGCCTTCCTGGATTCCCGAACCAGGTACCTCTCTCTCCCTCTCTCCCTCTCTCTCTCTCTCTCTCTTCTCTCTCTC